AGAAATGGCATGCTATGGAGCAGTCTTTTCTATAATTCATGCTCAACTTACGGTGCTTCATCAAGGAAGCCGCAACGGCTTTGCTAGCACCGACATCGCTTTAACACACTGACGACATTGAGGCGCGGCTACGCGTCTCACCCTTGTCATCCCTTTTCTAGCGTATGCGGGCTTCTTCCCAATTTGCTTGCCTCTATTCTATGGATTACAACATAACATAACTGTAAACGACATGGGTCACGGTATGATCAAATATGCTCCAGTTTAGCAGAAGTTTTCAAGCACAGCGGAATTGGCAGCTCGGTTCATTCCTCGTTTTCTTCCTATTCTCATGAACATGTCAATAAAAAAGGGTAGTGAAGTAAATACAAACCCAACTGAATAGAAAAATGTATGTTTCACTTGGCACAACCGGAAGGACTAAATTTACCTTTCTCTTGCCATTACACGTTTTTTCCGTACCACTGGTGCTTTAAAAAGTTATCAATAAAAATTCACGGATCCGAGGTGCGGCGGTCGCACTCGCAAAATCGGCCCGGTCCCACACGGCCAAAAAAGCCAAAACGCGCGCGGTCGTCAACGTGTTAATAGGCTAGTCTAGTGCATTCAACTTCAAAATCTTCATCATCACTACTTTCCCTTCCGTGCTTGACAAGCGTTGCGATCAAACCACCAAACTTTCTTTCCCTTCATTGACTAGCCAAATGCTCTTTAACATAATATTTACACCTAATTGCCTCATAGTTTCTACAAGGTGCACAGCTCACATGTTGAACACTGTAGCTGGTGAACCAGAGATCTTTGTGCACAGTCTCCCATTTCGACCAACTAGGCTTTCCATAATATTTATTCAAATGGCAAGTAATTATTCTATAAAATCTATTTACTCGCCAACTGAATGGATGGAATGCATAGCCTTTGTCTTTTGGTGAATTTCCATCAACTAAATAAATAGGAGGCCTAGTTGGTCAAAAATCGTCTCGGCCGGCCGCGTGTTGACCATCCCTTCACGATTGCGACAACAATTGCTACGATAATAGGCCAAAAAGGGCAAATATAAAGCTGAACAAACCCAGCTTCAGATTCAGGAAAGTAGCCTACCAATGGTAGAGGCCTAATGCAAATTCAGTGTTTATGAGACAGCTAACGAAGTTTAAGTAAACCTGACTGTGAATAACGTGCTGCTGATTGGCAAGTCGCTGAAGTACAACTCAGAATAACTATAATCACAGCCACGACTAAAATTTTGGCCTCCGTGGCTGTCACATATGAAATACAGTTTTACACACTCTCAAATAGCTGTCCAAAAGGCGAACATGTGATGCTCGATGTCTGCTTCTTTGATCGAGCGCTACAAAAAATACCGACAGGCGAATGGACCCTAAAAACTCTAAAGGAGTGTCAGCCTCGGTGGATTATTTGCCTCTATTATGGCCATGTCTGCTGCTTTCTGCCCTCAAAAAGCAACATTATTTCACACAATTCGAAGTCGAAATTGAAACGCATGCCCTGTGATGTTAGTGTTGCGCTTTGTGTACAAACCTAAATACAGTGCATTGCAGTACGTGCTCAGCAATGAGACAGTGAAAAGGAGGAGAAGAATGGCCCTATAGAGGCGGCACGGGTTGAAAAGAGTTGAGACATTAGCCTAGTTGTGATGCGAAAGAAATGGAAGAGAAAGCCGTACTTTGCGAAGCTAACGCCCCTCACTGCACAGTTCCAGAGCGGGTATTTGTGCATTATCGGGAACATCTTAGATCCCACAGCCACAGTTTTCGAAACTTCTCACCTGAAGCCATGCTGGGTCTGGGCCTGAGAAATCCCAAGGGCAAGCTCCTGGGACAAAATGAAAAAAGGCATCATCATGGATGAGAAACCAAAGACGCCAACAGAACGCGGATCCCGCCGTGAATCTAAACGAACTAAACTGAAGTTACCCCTTTTGTCTTGTCTTTGTTTCCCATAATTTTATTCTTTCTACAAGTTTGCAGGGGTCATAGGTACGTCATTCTTTTGGTAGGTGGCCCATCGACAGAGGATATCACGAACCTGCCCAGCTTGAAGTAGCTACGATAAGTCTCTTTGACGCTTCACAGGATAGCGTGTGGTTTTCGGATTTTCAACGTGCAGAGCGTGAAGGAATGATTCAACCGATAAGGATTGCTTTCTCCTATTTCAGCTCGATATTATATCAGCAAAATATTTTGACGTATAATCTCTTCATAATCAGCCTTTTGTAAGGTGTAAGCATAGCCAATGTGAGCTTGAGTAGAGTTTTTCGAGCCCTCCTGTAGCTTTCTCCTGAGACCGTTCTTGCGAATCGCTATTCAATGGAACTTCAATTTATTACCGCAACATGGTAGCTGAATTTGTTCTCAAGAAAACCTCCAGCTTGGTGTAAAGAAAAAATTTCCTGCGTTTGACTATCGGTGATACCCGTAAGTGCAGACAACATAGAACCACAATCGCCTATTTTCATAAGCTAAGATTACAAAGATTCGAACCTCGCGCAGTATCGCAGACAGTTATGGAATAAATCTAGCACATTAAAAACGCGAGCTCCCAGCATTGTCTTCAAAGTCATGGATCTATTCGTACACTTCTATCACCCTTCTGATCCAAAAACCGGCCAATGTTATTGTTATAAAAGCGTGCTCACTCATGGTAGCAAAGTCGTTAAAGTGTTGGAGCTCAGCCCGCTACTTCAAGCATTTGCGGCTCAAGCAAAGTTGTGATGTATGCATTACACATAATAACGACTTTCAGAAAATGCTGCCAAATATAAACACATATCAATGCACCTCCAGATAGAGCAGCAGCTGGAGTGATGGTTTTTCACGTCGCTTTGAATATCGGGATAATTTCCAGAAGTTCAACATCAAAGTACAGAAGCACCATATAAATAAGAGAAGAGTGGAACACGCGCATTCACAATTCCCAGCAAGTGTTTAATTTCCATCCATGGTTGACAGTGCTCAACTCTTCATTGCAGAATGAGAGTTCTTGTGCTTGCTGTGCTTATGGCTGCGCATGTGGATGCAATGCCAGAGCAGCGGCAGAAATTGTATTTGCTTCACTCTACTCCGGAAGAAAGGTCTACTGAGAGACTAAACGTGGGTTTTTGATAAATTGCACATCTACCAAAACCTAACTCAAAAAAAGTTAACTCACGCAGCTAATACTAACTGCACTCGGGGTATAGGTCACAGCTGAGTCCAAAAAAACTATTGTTGAAATGATAAACCCTTATTCGAATCGTTTAAGGAAAGAACTATCTATAGAATGCAACATAACATGGGGCGTTCGATTGAGGAAATTAACGAGAAGAGCGGAGCTACAGGCGCATATCAAGGAGATATTCTCTTAACAAAGTAAGTTGGAGCAATTTTCTGTAATTTTTCTAAATTCTAAATAATTCTTTTCGAAATTCTAAATGATATCAAGGGATGAATTGGGAAAGGTGGAAATTCGTTCCAAAAGGCAGGCAATGAGAGACCTTAGCAGAAGATGGTCAAATAATACCGTTCCCTACATCTTCTACCATCCAGGTCAGTTGCTCTCAAGTTCCCCGCAGGGTCAACCGCCCGTTGCGCAAATAACAACGAGCGGTCCTATTTGGCCGAACGAAAGGGGAGTTGATGGATACAAAGAGTCCCGCTTTGAAATGCATGGAGAAAACAGGATTCCATATAGCAGTACAACGCAACTACAATCGCGATACTACCGTCTCCAGGGGAGTGGAGGACTTTCAAATGCTAGTGCGACTGCTAACCACAGACAGGTGCACGGCGTACCCCGAGCAGGAGTTTTCACTTCAAAACGCTTTATCTGTCAGCGGCCGTGAAGCAGACAAACTTCCTCAAAAAATCTTGATGCTTTCAGAACAAATCTAAGTGGAAGAAAGAAAACTTGAGCTGAATTGACTTCTAGGGACCACCTCAGAAATTCTGGCAGAAGAAAGCTTTTGAGAAAATTTTGCATACGTTGTAAAACACTCTTTATGTAGACTTCAATACTTTTTACCGCTTCTCATTATACGAATTTTGAAGGAAATTATGGACGTTTGAAGATTGCAGAGTCGCGTTTAGGAAAATGGCTTGAAAAAATGGAAGGGAAAACGGAACAACGGGACTATTTTTTGAAATAGTGATTTTTGAAAAGTTTTAGCACTTATTCGAAAGCGCTAATCTTCTAGTTTCTAATTAGCCTTGAACATCTGCAAAAAGTTGATTATGAAGAAAGTTATGAACGTTTGAATGTCGAAAACTCGCGCCTTCTCAAAAATCGGACCACAAACCCCAAAAACGGAACAACGGGACTATTTTTTGAGAGAGTGATCGCTGGAAAATTTCAGGTGCTTGTTTGAAAGCTCTAATCTTCTAGTTTCTAATTAGCCTTGAACACGTCCGCAAAAAGCTTATTATGAAGAAAGTTATGAATGTTTGAATGTCGAAAACTCGCGTGTGCACAAAAAACGGAACAACGGGACGATTTTTTTTTGAAAAATTGAACATTTGCAAATTTGAAAACTTTTCAGGAACAAAATAACCCGCAGTTTTCAAATTTTTTAGCCCTCTCACGAAACCGCTTAGAAAGATATAACCTTCAAATGAAGAGGTCTGGGCCTTGACGTAATTGCTGCACGGTTTAGCTTTTAGTTTCATAAAAGGGTTATTTCGAAGTGAAAAAAAACTCAGTGGTTTCCGAAAGTAAAAGCGATCTACGATCACAACCATGGCCCCTATATCGATGATGGGCATAGAGATATGTAAAAGGACATAAATAGCTAATAAAGTAGCTATTACGGAGGTCTTACTAATACTCTATAATAGGGAGGGGATCGTAAAAATTTTGTAATTTGCGCAACGCAGGGTTGGCCCTGGTTTCCCGTACGTATGCAAATGAACACTGTTCAGATGAAAAGGCTAAGAATGCCTTCACGAAAGCGGCACAATTGTGGATGACTAAGACGTGCATTGACTTTGAAGAGCATCCGGATCCGATGAAGACACATATTAAGCCACGTAAGTGAGACTGTTAAATACTTGGCCATCGCAAATCTTTTCCGGTAAAATCCCGTATGATTGAAGGAATCATTTTCGAAAAAATCGTGATCCTATCTCAACCATAATTCACTGGCTTGGAACCCATTGCTCACGATAAGAACGAAAAGAAAAAAGGCTTTTGTTTCGGTAGAAAATTGGAAAACCCGTAAGGACTGCTACGCGTTCAAAGTACCGCCGGACATCTGTCACAAATGCTGGCGACGGAAATGCTTCCACTTGGTTCTTGGAGTGTCACTAGAAACTCTTTCTGGCCTTTTGACTTATTGCATTCACATCTCACACTTCTACTCCATCCTATTCTATCGATCGATTTGTCTCTACTCTCCGAAATCGCGCGCTTTAACCCGATTCTTCATTGCGTCGCCTGATACGTAGCCGGCCCAAGGCGGACTTCTTTCCATGCCTCGCCTTTGGCTCCGCCCACTTACCTTCGATTGTCCATAGAGTGTGTTTTGTAAGTTTTTCTTTTTCGGAAACTGAATCTTTGTGCGTGAAACTTTGTATGTTGTCTCTAGTGATCACAACTGACATATGCGTGTTGGGAAGTAATTCTCCGGGAAGGATGGGTCCAACCTCATATCCCAGATAGAAGTGCGTACATTCTAATGTGCTTATGAGAAGAAATACACTCGGTACTAGTTTTCAAACTCAAGCATCAGCATATATTAATAGCTATTGCATCTCTCCACCTACGAAAAAGCCACCATGTGTTCAATTTTAGACCCTTTTCACCACTTTCTATTGTTTTATAATTTATAATTTAGACGTAGAAAGCTATGAATTCAAGTTCAAACACTAAAACACACAAAGTTATTCAATAAGCTAGAACAATAAACACAGCACTACTTTGCAGTAGAATATTGGAAAATTTGAAGATCTGGGGTTCTTTAAACGTCCTCGTTTCAGCTCGGGACTTCTTAGCTGTGGCCCCCGGAGATGGATGTTTTTCACATGTCGGTAAGAACGGCCCAGGTCCGCAGGTTCTCGTACTTGGCAAGGGCTGTGAATCGGTATGGATTGAAAACACTTCGTTCGCGTTATAATCATAAAGTAGCGGCCAAGAGTCAGTTGAAAGAACTTACAGACGACTTTTTATGGTATCTTTTCCGAAAACCTCTGACTCGTCGCAAACTGAATTGTTTCCAAATGTAAACCAGCTTTTACTAAGCGTTCCTAAAGCCTAAGAGAACAATATCTCTATTAACGCAAACTAGGATCAAACTTATCGATGATTCAAATTCACTGGTAGCAAGAACCACTTCGTCAGTTTTTTCGAATCGCGCGCAACATGAGCGCTTTGGCGGGCACGATATCTCTGGCGAGGAAATACGTCATCTTGTCCCACATTGTAGTTTTGGAAGCAAAAACTGAAAAATAGCAAAGAAGGACCCAACGCTGATTGTAAGGAGGGGCTTCGGACAAAGACGGGTGTTGCTGGCCTGCACTTTTTAAGCGAAACGGTGATAACATCTGTGTAAAATGAAAAATCAGCGAGTCTGTGGGAGTACTCCCAGTATGGGGATGGTTGATTAAAGTTGTGCGTGTTGTGTGATTATATCCGTGGAAAGTTGGATAGGTAATGTTAACGCTATGAATGAATGGCTCGGACTGGAACTGGTCAAATAACTTCTGAAAGTTGAGCGTAAATACGCGTCGAGTCAGTCACTCCTCACTCAACACTTATAGAAGGAAATAGCAAAAGCTTCGAGAGATGTCAAAGAAAAGGTATTCAAGATGTTACGCAACTGTGCCAAAAGAACAAGGTTCCTCTGTGGCAGTTAAAAAAACAAATAGGGTTAGACCCCCGTCACACTCGGTGACGGACAAGCGATGGAGCGATCGCGATCGCTCCGTCGCTTGTCCATCGCTTGCCCGTCGCTTGGCAAGCGATTGCGCAATCGCTTGCAAAGTGCACAAGCGACGGGCAATGGCTCTGCTCGATCGATACCGCAGCCGACTGCATCGACTGGGGGCGGGGCCAATCGCCCGTCGCTTGTGCACTTTGCAAGCGATTGCGCAATCGCTTGCCAATCGCTCTCGGCAGAGCGATTGCAAGCGACGGACAAGCGATGGAGCCGTCGCGTCGACGAGTGTGACGGCGGTCTCAGCGTACTACAGTAGATGTAGAAAATTCTTTTGTATTTAATCAATTACGATGTGATTGTTTTATTCAATATACCAATCATGCCATCCGTAGGATCGTGATTCCTTAACACTTTTATCCCATTGTTGCTTGCCTCTATTATTTGATTGTATTTGCTTGTTTACTCCAAAATAAAAGTCGAAGATTGTCTGAACTGGAAATTTAGTGAGGCTTACTTAAAAACCCTCACTTACATGAAGTATACAGGGTGGCTACTAAATATTGGCGCATGGTTTATTGATCATATTTTTAAAAAGAGAAGCTATTATATCTTCAGAAGTTTATTTTCATATACAATAAACATGAAAATTCATTACTAAGAAAGTGCTCGAGATGGCCTCCTTTGGTAGCGATACAGGCTTGAAGTCTCTTTTCAACTGACATCACTGTGGGCCGCAAGTAGCTGACGTCGAGTTCCTTCCACGCCTTCTCCAAGGAAAGCCTTCAGGTAGTCCAAACTTTGATGTCTAAATTCTGACGCGCCTGACATGAACGTGCTAGAAAAGGGGTTGATGATCAAACTTGCTCCCTCGCGAGGCATATTCTTCCATTTCTCTTCAAACAGGGCCACCCTTTCGCTCACATTTCTGGCTTTGTTTACAGACGTCTTTGCACTCGTCGTGATTGCTGACAATGAGATGTGTGGGCCAGGCGACCACCCAGAATGCTCCAAAAGCATCTCATGCTGTCGAAACCACTTTCGCTTGTTAGAGGCTCGACGTACTAAGTCGTCGCTCTGGTGAAAGACAAAGTCATAATCTGGCCTGGCTACAAATGCACAAAATTCTCGAATCTATTTATATAAGACTTGCCCAATCTTCTTGAATCCTATGAAACATGCAAGCTGTGGAGTGAGTGGAGATAGAGTGCGTTCGCTGAAACTTGGAATGGAGATCTAAGTGTTCCAGCAAGCGAGAAGATTAAATTTGTGATGACATTCGGCAGAATTGTACTAGTGGTGTACGGTACATCGAGGGAAATCTTTTGATTCAAAGCATCACCTGCTACCGCTGGAACACGGTGGAGTACGGGTATGGTTGCTTACGAATAAAGTGTCACTACATTATAGCACTGAGGCATGATGAAGGAGGACGTATGTATGTTCTTCATTCCAGAAGGCGTTGTGTAAGCGCAAGATAAAAGTCGCCCAAAGCTTACCATTCTTTTTAGCAGAGCAACGACTCAATGCATCGTGCCTGCCACATGCAAGAGTGATTTCGACAGCATAGGGCAGCTTCAATGGATTAGCTAGGTCAGTCGCATGTCGTGAACATTTCAGAATCATTAGGGAGGAGCCGCAAAGACGACCGTAAAAGAGAGCAAGTTAGAGAGAGCCACAAATATAAGCGAAAAGCTAGTCCAATTCAAAGGGAAATGGAAGAAGATGCGTCATTAGAGAATGAGTTCATTAGTCAACCTTACTTTCAGACCCTCTAAGTATCAACGACTTTGGTGAGTTTAGCTTCAATTATTATGTTGTCTCATAACCAGTGACCCGCTTTGGGTACTTTTCAATTTATTTTTTTCTTTTTTATATGAAGTGCTTGCTCATCCAAACATACACCTCTGTCATCTACAATGTATTGCCTATACATGGAAATTTAGTCGCTGTCTTATCTCTAGAATTCCAGGAGCTATTGATCGAAGAAAGATCGGAAGTCGAGTTTGAGGTCATGTCACTTAGCGTAAAATTCCTCCCTGGGGAAGAGCGCTAGAGCTCAGACTAGGGTTACTTCCGTTGGCACAAAGATAGGGCAGGAAGAAGCTAGAAGAACTTAGCTGAAAGTATCAAACTTTCTTCTGAATATTCGTCGCAAGGTGGGGTCGGACGACATCAGGAGAAGCACAGTATGTCTTGCTTCACTTGACTTTAACGCGTCGCCATTATGCTATCGACGTTTGCCTTCTCCACTAAATATAGTATTACTGTGCGACGCTTCCGCGCAAGTTCTCTTTCGTGTCCCACCAATACCTCAGTAATGTCGGACTACGAGTAGGTTGGGCTTTTGCTGTCACAACTCGCGTTTGAGGTAGACTACGGTTCTCTGTGGATTTCCTAGCATACCCTTTTCAATCCTCAACACTGGTGAATATGCAGGATGATCACTGTAAGGAACTCGGGAAATCAGAAGGAACATGATGATGTCAGATCGTGTGTGGAGCTGTTTCGGGCTCAAAGCATGTAAGATACAAACTCCAAGTTCTTACAAATCTACGGAAATGCCTACATTCCATCATCATAACAAGTCGAATGCGCACTGAAAAAAGCGACTAGATTGCCCAGATCCAAATTCCAGTGGCGCAGGTGGAGAACCGAGATTATCAGTCAAGAGAAGGATGGAGTGTGGGACATCTCCATATAAAGAAGCCAACTCCGGATTAGAGTGAGCCATACACACCACCGTGGTATCGCGAGGAGTGCTGCCTAGCATCTGCAAGTTTATCTCTGTGTCTTAGACCCTCTGTGTTGTTTGACGTTTGAAAGATCCTAATCAGAAGTGATGAAGAAGGAAGCTCAAAATAGGGTCCAGAAAATTTTTAGTAATAGCCACGGAAGGCCGTTTATAAGTGGGCGGACTAATTGCATAGGTAAGACAATGTGTGGTCTACTTTGCAAAACATCTTTCACGTACCTTTTTAGAGTTTTTATGGCAATAAATGCGAAGTGAGTTACTAATTATATAAAACCTCAAATTAGTTGCTTAATCTCAGTGGCTGTGTAGCTGAATGTTCTGTTGGGTTACCACCCTCTATATAGAGTTACTTAATGTGTCTGTTTTTTTTTGTTCAGCATCCTATGGCTGGCTACGTAGATTCAATAAGACAGTTGGTAGAAGATCCCAGGATGGGATGTTGTCCTTAGAGCCTCACGGTTGCAAGCAAGGCTTTGCTAAAAGTGAATGTGGCAGTGACCGGAGTCCGCCCCAACGACGAAATTGAGAGGATCGGTTTCAGCGCACAGGGCTCGAACTAAGTTAATAAGTATAGCATTGTGCGGGTGCTGTAGCACGAAAGGGAACTTTAGGAGTGACATGCAATCGACCGACAGCGACTGACATGCCGATTTCTGCGCAAAAGGTTCAATTTGGGATAGAAACCATGCTACTGATTGGGTGCTGTAGTACGCCTGACTACGCCGGGCTCTACTCCATTTCGTAAGTCGGAATGCTCTGCTCACGCCGGGCATTCCTTCCATTTGCACGCATTGTACATTGTAACGTTTTCTTGCCTTCATTTCCTATAAGACATCGATATCCACTTCTAGCTCTATACTGAATAGATGTGTAATGATAGCAACAATCGATACGAAAGAAGGAAACAGTGAATGTGCTACGTTTGAGAGACTTGCGTACTCCCGAAAACTCACAGAGGGGTCTATTGCTCCAGGAACAGAAGCAGAGGGAATGGTATTATATACGCAGCGTTGAGTGTTTGGTAAAGATGGCGGAGTGGAGCTAGCTTGGCGATTAATGTACAAAGAGTGCAAAAAGTTGGAGGAACGTTCGGCGTGAGCAGGGCAATCTAATCCACAAAATGGGTATAGCCCGGCGTTGCCGGGAGATATTACTGCCGTTATTTCATTTGAATAAACTGACAAGTGACTTTTCGCTCGTTTCCAGCGAAATCCAGTCGATAATCTGTTTGATCCTAGTTTGCGGTGATAGACGATATTCCGCTCCTGGGGTCAGAGGACCCTATGTAAATGACTGGTGCAAGTTTGGTGAAGATTCGGCGAGTTTTGGATGAGAAAACTATAAAAAAGCGGTCGTCATTTGATTCCTGGCCGCTTCTGTATGAATCAAGAATATACTACCCATAGGGATACAATTGCAAAGCTAACTTACCTTCGATGCTACGTTTGCTTTCACTAAGTTTTCCATTCTGTTGCAGGTTGGGATT